TTGTGCCTGCGCACCGGGATTATGCCACTGTGGGTCCTGAGACTGTGGATGACGGCCGCTGTTCGGACTTGTTCCTTGCGCCTCTTCGTCCGTTCGACTTCAGAAGCATCCAGCAAGCGAAATATACGCCGAAGACGCCGGCGCGACGTCATCATGGACGAAACCGTGACTGTGCTCGGGATTTCTCGACGGCGGCGGGTGCTGCTTGCGAGGTCGTGGTTTTCGCTAAACATGCTTACTGAGACTGTGTATGTGTCCGTGGGGTGCACATGCTCGGTTTTATTAGCTGAATTACGGTACATCAGGAATATACCCAGCGGCATTGTGAGTATTTTGAAAGATCTTTTTCTTTGTGATCAAGAAGTCAGTTGTCCCTGTTTGATGTGATGTCTCGTCTACAGCTCCTTGCGCCGGGTTTGAGCAAGCGTTGCTCTTTATCGTCGTTTTGAGTTATAATATGCATGTAAAACTAAATGTCTGCAATAAATTTTCAATAATGTTTTGAACTGCATTTTTGTCTATGGTTCACAGTCATTTGGGCGTCTAGAGGGTTGATGGGCTAAAGGGTTTTTCTATGGGGTATCCCTGAAGGGTTTTTCTGAAGGGTATTTTTGAAGGGTTTTGAAGGCCTGTGAGGTCCCATAATCCTTCAAGGCTGACGGGCCCTTTAGAAATATTTTCAACAGGGCTTGCTTATCACTCGCTTTTTTTTTTTTCTTTTTCGGTCACACTAAATAGCAGCCGGCAGCAAATTCGAACACAAGACAACGCAATCAGACCGCAGAGTGAAACTATGGTCATTGCGCCACTGTTTATGCCGCGCAAGACAAGTATCACACCAGCGCGCTCTTCAGACGTTTGCTCTACGAACCGATAAAAGCAGCAGAGAGAAAGAGACATCAAGAGAAGTGGGCATTGGGTAATCAATGATGTCATGTCCATCAGCGCCCTGCACTCCTTTGCTACGGAAAAGGGGCTGTGCGCGGTCGACGGAATAGCCTAGCAGATAAACAGATGACGCTCGCACCGGAAAGTGCTTTGTGCGCAGGCGCATAATCTTGCCCGTACCGCCGCACCCCTCCGCGGCACGGCACTGGCCTGCCCGGCGGTCGCAGTTCGCCTGATATTATTGAAAACAATTGGGCCGCTGTACATTGCTGAAGTCATTAGGCACTGGAGATAACGAAAAAATGCTGCCGACAAAACGGACATGCGACTGTTTCAACTGAACTATTTGTTAATCAAACATAGTAGTGTCGAAAAAACAATATGTCGGTGAAACATTCGATGAACTGATTGCTGCCGGGCTTGCACACATCACTCAGACTACATTTTCAACAAGTTCCTACTGCTTGCTCTAAATGACACCTACAGCGCTAACAAAGCATTGCTGAAGTCAGGGTACTAACAACGATCATGGCAGTGAAGCTGCATTCACACTGGCATTTGTATCGCAACCGCAAAGCTGATCTGCTTACTTACGTCACCAAATGCACGTGAAATTGGACTGCACCATTAAGCTACCCCGTTCGCAGCCGCTTCAGGATCGCGATTCAACCACCAGTGTGAATGCAGCGCGAGTCAAGTACATGTTTTCGCGGAAGAAATATCCGTTGCAGTGCACAGAGCACGCGCTAGCTCGCCCTCCTAGACTTCGTTGGTACTAATAAGTTACGTCCAAAGCGCTGCATTCCTAGGCTGAAGCGCGAAACACATGTACGACGAAACCGCCCGATCCGACGTCCGACCGCGCAATACGACGGTCGGAGGCGAGGGTCTTCAACGCTCTCCGATGCTACGAAAACCCTCTCCCCCCCCCAAGGTCATTCCGGCAGTCCGCACGTCGGATCGGACGGTTTCGCCGTACATGTGTTTCGCGCTTAGGCAAGAGAGATCGGGGGGTTACGGGGTTTCAGTGCTCCGCCCGCCGGATGTACCTGCCCACCAGTGTTGCGGAATTGCGACTCCGGAGTTGGAATGATTCCGGAATCATTCCGCATTTTCGCGACCCCGGAATGGAATGGGGAATGGAATGGCGGTAACGATGAGGTGGATGGAATGGGAATGGAATTAGATGTCATTTGCCCGGAATGTAATGGAAATGGAATGGGCCCGGTCCTTTCTTTATTTTTTTTAGGGAAGAGGGGGGGGGGGTACGTTCAGCTAAACGGAGCTAGTCAGCGAGTCAGTTGCTCAGAAAAAAAAAATGCGCGGGAAACTGCTTGCAATAAAAAAAACACGCATCAGAACAAAGACCAAAGGGGGGAGGGGGTGGCGGTGGCGCCTTTCACGGACGCACAGACGACGGGCTTTACGGGTGTTACACGAGAGCGAAAGAAGAAACCAAGCGCCAAGCAAAAGAAACGAAGGAAGCGGCAAAAAGAGAAGCCGCCATGCACGGCTCCTCATCGTGCTTTTTTTATTACTTTTTTTTTTTGCGACGGCATAGACTCGGAGAATGCACGCGCGCGCTCAGACTGAGACCTGGGGGCGACTCATAACTCGTTGACTCGCACGCCGCCGCAGAAAGATGATCAGTTATTGTTTTCTTGTAGTTCGAGGAGCGTTGTTTAGCAGGTGACCAACCCTGCTGCTTTCCACGTTCATTCGGGCGCACTCCTTTGAAGTGCGAAATCTGGGTTTTCTTCGGCATTAAAACAAAGAGAGATTCACTTTTCACTTCTCCTCTTGCGCTTTGCTCCAACGCTTGTTTCTTTTTTTTTTTATATATATATATATACTGCAAGTTTACGTGTAAGTCCGCCTTTTACTTGGTCTTTGTTCCGATGCCTATTTTCTTTGTTATATGTTTTACATTCAAGTGGGTTGAGGTTACAAACAAGCTAGCGGATTGCCGCTCATTTCCTTTGACTTGAGTTTCTGCATACCTTGTTTCACCTTGCAATGGACCGCTGCGGACGCTTTGAGTCACCCCAGGCAGTCCAGCACAGTGAGCTTAGTAAGATCAGTGCTTTTTTGAAGCATTTAGCTTTTTTTTTTTGCAATTGTCTATGCTTTTGACAATGTCAGCTTTATGCTGCTTATGCCGGAAACATTGCACAATGTAGCTGTCAAATGCCAATTTTTACGTTTAGGAATTAGAGGAATGGAATGGGACGATTCAGCCATTCCAGGAGTGGGAATGGGCCCAGTGTCCTCAATCCTAGGAGTTGAAAGGAATTGAATTATCGAAAACTCTAATTCCCGGAATGGAATTGGAATGGAATGGGGCGTGCCCATTCCGCAACACTGCTGCCCGCAGGCGTTCTTTGTAGTAGCCATGACGTAGACATGCCAGGTATGTCTTGCTACCGGCTTGAGACTCTCACGCGCTGTGTTGCTCAACTGCAGGATGCTTCAGTTGGCATCGTTCAAGCGCTTGCCGTGTTTGACGGGAGCCCTACACAACTGCATCCCCAGTACTTGGTGCTCATTGAAAAGCTTCAGCTGGTGAGGAATGTTTCCTTCATGGACACCCAGCTCGGGATTTCCTTTGCAGCAGTACGAGAGGGAACACGAACAGCGAACAGGCGTTGTGACAGCGTGCAGTCCGAATGCTTTAAAGAGAAAGTGTGTTATCATGGAGAGTACTGCTGCAAGCCTTTTGTTGTTGCTCTGCCTAACCAAGTGGAGCGTGATTAAGGATGGCAACAACTGAATTCTCACGGATAGCACAAGCTTTTCACGAATAAAACCGGTGTCTACTATCCCAATAATCGCCACTTACGGCTGCTACCAGGATATATGGAAGCGGTCTAGCAAATCACAATCGTCGGTAACATTCGGGGTTAAAAAAGGCTCGAGGTACACCTAAGCGCTTGTTATGAGTTGTGAATGCAAAAACATGAATGTCATTCTTGCACACATTCTCATGAATGCCACAGATATGCATTTGATTTGACGACATAGCCCTGATTAGCGCCAATTTCTGGTCTATAACAAAAGTAGACACCGAAGAAAACAGAATTTAGGAGAAACATCAACACCGAATACACTTCCAAATTTGAGGGAAATTATACACCGAAAGCAGGGTACCCTATTTATGTTTTGTGGTGATTCAATTTTTCCAAATTCTGCAGCTAGAAATAATATTGACAAATCATTCATAGCCCCAAGAATGCCCTTTCTTCTGCTCACCTGGCTTTGTGTGGCTCCTGTTTTACGAGGCTGGTCTGCCCAGTGCAAATACCATATTTACTCACATAATGAACACACTTGCATGATGAATGTACCCGTGACAATGGGCATCAATATTTGGACTTTTTTCTTTTTGTCGCAAAATGAGCACACTTAATTTTCGGCTCCGCGAGTCTTGAAGCCAATTTTCTTTTGCGGCCACGTGGCCAGGCCAAGTCAAGCCAAGCCAAGCCAAGCAACTCTCGTAATGGCTGCAAGTATGTAGTTGCAGAAGTGATCAACCGTGAAGCCGAGTGGCACGCTTGCCTAGCGAAGCTGGGGTCCAGAAATTGCCCAGCTTTGGACGTGCCTCGTCCATCGGATGCATTGATGTCAACAAACACGCCGTCGTCTGTGATCCGCTTTCGGACAGTGATATCTTGAAAGTGGTTAGGCCTAAGAATGGTCGCATCGCAATCCGTCCTGAGTGAGCTTCGTAGGGTGCTTTTTCTTCGGCAAAAGGCACGCCAAAAGTGCCCTAAAAAAGTTCGCAACTTATAGAGCATGGTTACTGAGGCGCACCCACGACCAGCCATGGGTGCGCTCTGTCAGTGGAGACCTACCACAGTACCATGGCGTGTCATATTGGCACCTAAAATGATATTCACGCAAAGCGTGTAAATGCAAAAATTTTACCCCGTGTAATACAACACCCCCCCCCCCCAAATATGTGTCAATTTTTCGGAAAAAAAAGTGTGTTCATTATACGAGTAAATACGGTAGTGCCCTTCCTCACTTCGCTCAGAATCAAGGTGCAGACGGACAAAGAAACGATAAGTTCAAATCTCGTATCTCTCTGTTTTGGAGAGGACGGGTGGTGGTGGTGGCGAACTCTTTATTTCTCCCATAAACACAGGGGACCAGTCCCAGGACCGGTTGCGCTCGCTTAGAGGAGGTCGGCGGCGATCCCTTGGGATGTCGCGGCCTCCACCGCGCGCTGGATAAGCCGGCGTTGGTCTTCCGGCTCGGACGTACGCAGGAGGGGCTCCCACGTCTCTGGGGTGTTTAAGTTGTCTGCGTTGTAGTGTGTACAAGTCCACACCATGTGTATGAGGGTGCCCGGAGCTGAGCAGTGTTTGCACCTGGGTGCTATCTGTTGTGGAAAGATTCTATTGTATAAAAGCGGGTGTGGAAAGCTGCCTGTTTGTAGTTTGCGCCATTGGACGGCCTCGCGTCTTGTTAGATCGCGGTGTGCGGGAGGATACGTGCATCTTCCGAGTCGGTAGTACTGGAGGATGTCTGTTTCCGTGGTGAGCATAAACGCGCGTGATCTATTAGTGTCAGGGAAAGCGGGGAGGCGGGTCACTCTCTCGGCTCGGCAGCTAAGTTCTCGGGCGAGAGTGTGCGCCTCGGCGTTTCCTCTGAGTGACTCGTGGGCTGGAGCCCAAATGAGTAAGCAGGAGGAGGAAGAAGGTGGAGCAGAAAAAAGGATGTGTAATGCGTGGCGAGAGATACGGCCGGCATCGTAGTTGCGGATCGCCTGTTGTGAGTCACTGATGACTACTTCGGTAATAGGGTCGGTTAGCGCTAGCGCAATGGCGACTTCCTCTGCTACGGTGACCGTTTCTGCGTTGCGAATGCTGCAGGCTGTGTGCCAGCTGCGGTGAGGGGCGAGGGCTACCGCCACCATTGCTGGCTTCGGGTGGTGGTAACAAGCGTCGGTATACGTGACGTCCGGACGTCCGCTGAAGCGCTTCTCCAGTTGACGTGCACGGTCGGCCCGTCTCTCGGCGTGGTGTTCCGGGTGCATCCGTTTGGGAATGGGAGGAATGCGGAAGCTTTGGCGATATTCCGGGGCAAGGTCAGCGTAACTGGGAGCCGCCCTCGTCGGTGATATCCCCACCTGTTGCAGTACCGCTCGGCCAGCGTGCGTCAGTGAGAGCCGCTCGTATTGGGCAGTGAGGGTAGCTTCGATTAATTCGTTCACGGTGTTGGAGATGCCGAGAGCCATAAGCTTGTGAGTGGCTGTGGACATAGTAAGACCCAGGACCGTCTTGTAAGCTTTGCGAAGTGACGCCTCTAGCCTTTCGCTTTCGGCACGAGTGAGACGTAGGTAGGGTGCAGAGTATGTGATGCGGGAGCAGATGAAGGCTTGAACGAGGCGCAGGAGGTTGGACTCTCGCATACCTCGGTGCTTGTTGGAAACTCGCTTAAGGAGGCGTCCGATCTGTACCACCGACTGGTCAATGCGTTGGAGCGAGATGTTGTTGCTGCCGTTGGCTTGTAGGTGTAATCCCAAGATCCTGATGTGATCCGTACGAGGGATGCAGTTACCTTGGACCCGGAGGGTGAGTTCCGGAAGTATCTTTGGTGGGCGTCGTCCCGGGGACGGGATGATTATATATTCTGATTTAGTAGCCGAGCAGGTAAGGCCAACTGTATCGAGATAGTCTCCGACCCTATCGATGGCGGTCTGGAGGGTCTCTTCTATCTGGCCGTCACTGCCGCGCGTGATCCAAAGAGTGAGGTCGTCAGCATATAGGCTATGGTGTAGATGGGGAATGTCAGCCAGTAGCTTGGGCAGGCCTATCAGTGCAACGTTAAAGAGCGTCGGCGTGAGCACGGAGCCCTGCGGCGTGCCACGGTTTCCCGGAGAAATGATGGAAGGATCTCCGGTGCCGGCGCTGAGTTGCACTGTGCGGCCGGTAAGAAAGTCTTGGATGTACGCGTAGGTGCGATGTCCGACGCCAAGAGTTTGTAGTTGCTGAAGAATCGCTTCATGGAGGACGTTGTCGAAAGCCTTGGCAACATCGAGGCCGACAATGACTTTCGTGTCTAGTGTGCGGCGCATGACGACCTGGTGATGAAGAAGAAGCATAATGTCCGGGGCCGCTAAATGAGGGCGGAAGCCGAGCATCGTGTCTGGTAGGAGGTGGCTGTCTTCGAGGTAGTGAAGGAGTCTGGTCTGGATGACGTGTTCCATCAGCTTCCCAACGCAGGATGTAAGAGAGATGGGACGAAGGTTGGCCAAGGTGGGTGGTTTGCCCGGCTTAGGGATGAGGACTAGATTGGCGCATTTCCATTCCTGCGGGATGGTACCGCTCTACCAGCACTCTAGAAGAAAGTTGGTGAGGGCTTGAACAGAGGCGTCGTCTAGATTCCTCAGCATCTTATTAGAAATACGGTCGGGACCGGCCGCCGAGGTGGTCTTAAGGCGATTAAGTTCTGCTCGTACCTCTGCTAGAGTGATTGGAGCGTCTAGACCGGGGTTGTCCGGGCCCTGATAGGAGGGGAGGGTAGTTGCCGGGCCGGGGCGGATGTAAGTGTCTATAATTTCTCGTTTGAGTTTCTCTGGCGTGCCAGGATACTGGTGGAAGATTCGCTCGAGCTGTTGGCGTGCTTGGAGTTTGCCTCCAGCCGGGTCGAGTAGATGCCGGAGGAGTTTCCACGTGTTACAAGTGTTTGTAGTCTTGTTCATCTGGTCGCAAATGTACCAGCTCCGGCGAGTTAGTTCAATTGCGTAATTCTCGATGATCGTGTTGGCGCGCGCCAGTCGACGGCGGATATTGCGGTCCCATTTCCGAGTGGCGAGGAGAGCTTCGAGTGATTTCTTACGCTCCCAAAGATGGGCATAGTGGCGGTCGCAGTGAGGGACCGTGTCCTCTAGCTCGACGGTTTGCGTGGCGTGAGCCACTTGTTTGACAATTTGGGTTGTCCATGCTTTGATGTCAGTAGCGATGGGAGGTGTGTCCTGCTCTTGCCTATGCACCCTAAAGGAGTCCCAGTCGATCACCTGAGCCGGCCGTGTACGTTGCCTCGTGGGCTCTTGTATCACAATTTCGAGTATGAAGTGGTCGCTTCCAAAGTTTGCGTGAGTATGGCACCAGGTAGCTTTGACTCCGGAGCTCGTAAAGGCGAGATCCGGCGTCATATCTCGGTGTAGGCCCGTACCAAGTCAAGTGGGGTAGGAGACGCCCGTGATGAGGGTAAGCTGGTGCGTATGCTAGTCATCCCAGAGCCGTCTGCCTTTAGCCGAGTCGTAGTTATAGCCCCAAGCGCGGTGGTGCGCGTTAAAGTCACCGAGGATGAGGAGGGGTTGCCCCTGCGCTAGCTGCTGGGCTTTGAGGAAGAGGGGCCCGAAGACGTCTTTATGGGCCCGGGGAGGGCTGTATATATTAATCACAAACAGACTAGTGTGACGTTTGCGCGAAGGTCGAGGCAATATTTCTAAAAAAACGTGTTCGGGAAGAGTGGAATCTAATTTGTGGTGGAGAACAGTGAGGTTTCGTTTGACAAGAGTGGCTACTCGAGGTTTTTCTCGTTCCGATAAGTAGGTAGTGAAACCGGCGAGTCGCGTGTTCTTGCCACCTTCACCGGTTTCAATGTCACCGGTTGTTTTACAGGAATGTCACCGGATTTTTACCAAAATGCCACCAGATATTTTACCAGAATGTCACAGGATTTCTACCGTGAGTCTATTTCCAGTAAACGTCCATTTTACTGGATTATGGGACTCTTTTCACTTCCAGTAAAGCCATAATTTACCAGAAGATCACCAGATTGGCCGGAATTTACCGTTTTTTTTCTTTCTGTTTTCGGACGTCAACCGAAGGCACTTAGGAGGAAGCCTGCGAACCGTGGTTGGTTAGGTTTACCAGATGCTGGACGACTCGGAAACAATTAAAGTGATTAGTCCATATAGACCTGATGTTCTATGTATTTATATAACAGGGTCGATACCAGTAAAACAATTTGCACAACTGTAGACAAAAGCAATCAGACCAAATAGGAACAACCATGCAAGTTCTTTGCCGAAAAAAGATATATTTCAAGGTACAATGCCACTGGGTAAAGTCCTAGACGCACGGTAATTCAACTAATAAAACCGCGCAGGTGCACCACACGGACACACACAATTATACTGTCAGCAGCACGTTTAGCGAAAACCACGAACGCTCGGAGCGAACATCCGCCGCCGTTGAGAAATCCCGGGCACACTCACGATGTGGTCCCTAATGCCGTCGCCGCGGGTGCTCCAGGCGTCAGTAGCACGCTTAGCGAAAACCACGAACGCGCGGAGAGAACATCCGCCGCCGTTGAGAAATCCCGGGCACACTCACGATGTCATCCCTGATGCCGTCGTCGCGTGTGCACCAGGCGTCAGTAGCACGCTTAGCGAAAACCACGAACGCGCGAAACGAACATCCGCCGACGTCTAGAAATCCCGGCTACCCTCACGATGTCGTCCTTGATGCCGTCGTCGCGTGTGCACCAGGCGTCAGTAGCACGCTTAGCGAAAACCACGAACGCGCGAAACGAACATCCGCCGCCATTGAGAAATCCCGGGCACACTCACGATGTCGTCCCTGATGCCATCCCCGCGGGTGCACCCGGCGTCAGTAGCACGGTTAGCGAAAACCACGAACGCGCGAAACGAACATCCACCGACGTTGAGAAATTTTGGGCACAATCTTTTTCGCTCGCTGGATGCTTCTGAAGACGGACGGACAAAGACGCGTAAAAAACAGGTCACTGAAAATATATTATTTACATCTACACACCCTGCTGCTTTGGAAGATACAGGTCGCACACATGGAACGAGGAGCTGAGACTGAGCGTTCGTTTCCTTGTCCGGCCGTTGCTCCTTGATGGACAAAGAAACCGGTTGTCTTCAAAGAAAAAAATAAAAATAAAATAATCAGCAGAACGACCCTCTTGCATTTTCCCCACGAACCCAATGCGAGGGAGAGAGGGTGCGTGGGGACTCGTCCTTGGTGCGAGGCACCATAAGTGCACACCCAGTCGCCGGCTCGTCGCGGCTTTCCCCTCCCTCGCGTCGGCTTCGAGTAAAGGTCGGTAAACAGGGAAGCGAGTCACCCGTTTCGGGTAAGATTTCTAGGAAAACCGGGTTGTCAGCATGGTATACCAAAGGGGCTGCCGGTGGCATTCCAGTGAAGTCTGTTTGCCTGCCAATAATCTACCAAAGACTGGTAAACTGGCTTCGAATGAAAAGGGGTGAAAGTGCACGCCCTCCTTTTTGGATCGTCAAAACAGTTCACTGCACGCACTTCTTGAGGATTGCAACGTCGTCCCGAGCTAAAACTCGCACTCACGAGAATGCCGCTCGAGTGGTCTCATACCTGCTCTGGCCCAGACTTTTGCCTGTCGCAAATATCAAGTTGCCGGTGATCGCTGCCCTTCTTTTTAGATCCTCAAAACAGTTCGCTGGACGCACTTCTTGCAGAATTTCAACGTCGTTTCAAGCTAAAACACGCACTCACGAGGATGCCGCTGCATTGGCGGCCGCCATTACAAACACAGTCCCCCTGCTCTTGGCTTCCTTGACTTTAGCCGTTCCCCTTGCGTCGGCTTCCAGTGATGTTCGGTGTCCGGCAAACGAGAGTGGCTTCCGGTAGGATTCCAGCGGCGGGTAATCGAAAGTGGTTCTGGTATAACTTCCAGCGAAAGTGGCTAAGCTGGTTTCTGGTGAAAATGAGTGGAATATAACCCGTTTCCGCCGAATGTCATGGGAAGTTTTTGCCGGATTTTAACCATAAGTGGCTCCGGTAAAAGGTCCAGCGAAATCTGGTTACTGGAAGTGGCAGCCGGTAATATTTCCACCAAAAAACTGGTAAGCTACGCTGGTTTCTGGTGAAAATGAGTGGAAATTAACCCGTTTCCACCGAATGTCGCTGGAAGTTTTTGCCGGATTTTTCAATAAGGTTCACTTCTTACTCACTAGGTTTAAATGTGTGGGACTTTTTTCTGTTTGCAAAGGTAAAATCTGCATTGAAGGAAACGAATATTTTAAGATTGTTGAAAAGATTAAGGAGAAAACAGTGGTGCTGCTAAAGAGGTTGACACATGATAACCTACAGTGGCGTTTCAGACAGTGGAAACTTTGTGTTCGACGGTGTATAAATAAGCGAGAGGTGTATGTTGAAGTGGATAGCAATTAAGTAGCAAGATTGTAATAATAAACCATGCTTGTGCCACCAGTACCAATATTTAATAGTCACACCTCATACATTCATGTAGTCACTTTCACATGCTGCATCTTAAATGCCCCAGGTTAGCACAGTGCGCTGGTCAAATTGTCCCTCTTTAGTGATGGCACTGGATGCCATTTTAACCTTCTGCTGCATCATGGGTCACGTATGGCACATACAAATTTAGTACAATCATGTCTCAATAATATGAGTGGTTTTGTTCCCCAGAAAAATTGTCCATAAGGGGGATCCTCTATAATAACGAATCGGTGTCAAAATATTAAGTAACAAGCATAGCGCTCTCTACTTAAGTTTTGTTATCGCCTTTTCCACCTTCAAACTGACCACAGAAGCGTCCAGTCTTGCCTCTTATGCACAGGGTGACATACATGATTCATCATGTATGTCACCCTTAAAAGGGAATGACAGCTTTTGGCTTGAAAGCCCCCCAAAAAAACCAGACCAGCTTTAGGAGCGCAGGCCTTATCTCACGACGGGCAACATACAATAGGGAATTCCAGGTACACACTGTCACCTCTGCAAATTGTTCTTCCTTTTTTTTCCCTTTTTTTGGGGAAGGTGGCTTTCTTCGCAACTGGGCTTGTGGACTCGCATTCAAAATAGACGGGCAACATACAATGGACTATTGTGATTTTTGTGTCTTCAAACTGCGACCTCTGCTGTTCACTAATTTTTATTTTTACTTTTCTTTTGTGTTTGTATAGACCCGAGCCCAAAAATATAAAGACCAGCAATGAACAACAAACAACCTCTTTGGGATGCTAACTTTTTCTTCTTTTTTCTGGCATTTGCGGGCCCGTGTCCATAATAACGAGACAAAAATGCCTGCATTTACTCCTTTCATCCCCAAAATAGCCTTTCATAGTTTGGACCATGGGTTTCTATATGAACAGGACAATTGCGTGGCAAGAGCCTGGTAGCCAAAAATTTCATCCATATTGCCGCGCGCAGGGTCACGGACTTGTAGAAAGTT